TCTAGTCTTGGACCCCCCTACCCTGGGGAAAAAGACCTTGGCTGTTCACCCTATCCATGCCCCGCATGATTTTATAAACTTCTTTAAGGTCACCGCTCAGCCTCCAACGCTCCAGGGAAAATAGCCCCAGCCTATTCAGCCTCTCCTTATAGCTCAAATCCTCCAACGTCCTTGCCAATGTTTTCTGAACACTTTCAAGTTTAACAACATCTTTCCCACAGCAGGGAGACCAGAATTGAATGCAGTATTCCAAGCGTGGTTTAATCAATATCCTGTGCATCTGTAACATGACCTCCCAACTCCTATACTCAATGTAGACAAACAGGAGACTGGAAGAACACAGCAAGCCAGGCAACATCTGGAGGAAAGGAGAAGTCAACGTTTCAGGTATTACCCTTCTTCAGGACACCTTTACTCAATGCACTGACCAATAAAGGCAAGGCAAACGCCTTCTTCACTGCCCAGTCTATCTGCGACTCCACTTTCAAGGAACTGTGAACTTCCATCTTAAGATCTCTTTGTTCTGCAACACGCCCCAGGACCTCACCTATGATCATATGCCACCCAGGACCATCACGAATTGGGGATCATTGGCAGTGACTGGTTGTAACGATGTTTATACAAATTCCCCTTTTGAATGTTCCTACTAAGTTCCACCGTCCTTTTATGCACATTGTTACAACACACAATGTCAAAAAATTTTTTTCTCGTCTCCCCCTCTCGTTCCTTTGCCAACTGTCTTAAACCTTTGCTATCTGCATTGACCATAGAGTTGCCAGGAAATTAAAACAGAAGGAAAATCACAGAGGAATTAAAGGATTGTACTTTTATCAAAACATAAAATGTCCTTTAACACCTTTATTAATTCTACAGTCTTTGGAGATGTGAAGAAAGGGCTTTTTGGCTGAGGGTCAAGATTCATCCAACAAAGTTCAATGTCTCAAATAAAACAACGAATTGTGGATGCTAGAACTCTGAAACTCAAACAAAACTTGAAGAAAGCTTTAGTTTTAAAGAAGGGTCACTGGACCTGAAACATTAACTCTGCTTTCTCTTTCTCCACAGATGCTGCCTGAGTTTGAAACCCTGCTGAGTTCCTCCAGCAATTTCTGCCAAAGAGTAATGTCTGATTGGCTATAGAGCCACAGCGCTTGGCAGGCGCTTGAGTGGCCAATGGCAGGAGTGCAGGGGTGGTGCTGTTGGTGGTGGGAGGTCGTGACAAAACCTCCTACAATGCATTGCAACGAGAGGAGGCAATATCTACACAGCAACCATACGACACACTGTAAACTGTCTTTATGCATTCACAGATGCTATAGCGCATAATGATGTGATCATCTGTTAGCAATCTTTGATGCAATGAGGGAAAAATAAGATTCATCCCCATCAGTGCTTTGTACAAAACTTTAATTGGGACATCCACAACACAGACTTTGACAGCACCTTCCAAACCCGCGGCCTCTACCATCTAGAAGGACAAGGGAGGCAGACACAGGGGAAAATCACTTCCTGAAAGTTCCCATCCAAATCGCTCACCATCCAGATTTGGAAATATATCGCCATTTCTTCAGTGTCAAAATCTTGGAATTACCTCCTTTACGGCACTGTGTGGGTGTCCCTACACCACATGGACTGCAGTGGTTCAAGAAGTGGCTGGCAACTTCTCAAGGGGCAACTAGTGATGGGCAGTAAATGGCTTAGCCGGTGACAGCCCACATCCCATGAACGAATCAGCAAAAATCTCGAAAGACAATTCAGGCAGAAATATATTTTGTCCAGTGATACTTTTTGTGATGGCCTCAATATTCCAATCAGCAGCCATTTTGACATATCAAATCAACATATCGTATGGACCCCTGGAGGTTGTTAATTTATTTCTTAATGTTCCCCCCCCCCACTTCTATTCTCCCAGTAAATACTGTAGCTACTTATTTGGACCAATCTATATCATTGAATTAAAAAGCCTTAAAGTAAACATAGAACCTGTTGCAACATTCTGTGAGATCACTGCAGTATGCTTCACTCCATCTACCCCTCTCGGCTCCGTTACCCTTAAACCCCTTTCCTAACAAAAATCAATCAATTTTCAGTTGGACCCCTCCCTACCTTCCAGACCAGACAGTTATATTTGGGAAGAACAATCCAGTTTCCTACTTCCCCAATACATGAAGAAGTACTTCCCGTTATTCACCCACACCAGTCTAATTTTATGTTTCTGGACTCCCCTACATATTACCAGAAGAAATGGATTTTCTATCAACCGCACCATCTCCTTTGTTCAGTATCTTAAACACAGTCATTAGATCGATTGGCTGCCTTATCTATATTGACGGGAATGCGGTCCTGACTCTGCATCTGTATTTGAGCTTGGTCAGGATTTTGGGGAGGAGAGATGAGGCCCAACAGCACAGGTTCAATCCTGACACTTTCTCTAAAATAAAGTCAAGAACCACAGATGCTGAAGGTCTGAATGCTGGAGAAACTCAGCAGGGCCTGGCAGTATCTGTGGAGAGAGAGCAGAGTTAATATTGCAAGGCCTTCTTCGGAACTAGACTTGAAATGGGTTCTCACTCTCTCCACCGTTTCTGCCAGACCTGCTGAGTTTCTCCAGTAATTTTTGTTTTTGTTTACACTGTCTCTACCTGATTAAAAATGCTGTCCTTTCCTCAACGCGTTGAAAGATTTTGGCCTTCTTCAACAAAGGGCATCTCATTCTATGGCCTGTTATAGTGTACATGTCCTGATAATATACAGTTTAGACTCATACAGCAAAGAAGGTGTTTGGTACGCTTGCATTTATCGGTCAGTGCATTGAGTATAGGAGTTGGGAGGTCATATTGTGGCTGTACGTGACTGATTAGATAATTTTTGGAATACTGCATTCAGTTCTGGTCTCCCTGCTATAGGAAAGATGTTGTGAAACTTGAAAGGGCTCAGAAAAGATTTACATAGATGTTGCCAGGGTTGGAGGGTTTGGGAGAGGCTGAATAGGCTGGGGCTATTTTCCCTGGAGCATTGGAGGCTGAGGGGTGACGTTATAGAGGTTTATAAAATCATGAGGGGCATGGATAGGATGAATAGGCAAGATCTTTTCCCCAGGGCAGAGGAATCCAAAACCAGAAGGCATAGGTTTAAAGTGAGAGGGGAAAGATTGAAAAGGGACCCGAGGGGCAACTTTCTCACGCAGAGGGTGGTGTGTGTATGGAACGAGCTGCCAGAGGAAGTGGTGGAGGCTGGTACAATTACAACATTTAAAAGGCATCTGGATGAGTAATATGACTAGGAAGAGTTTGGAGGAATATGGGCCAAATGCTGGCAAATGGGACTAGATTAATTTAGGATATCTGGTCAGCGCAGAGGAGATGGACTGAAGGGTCTGTTTAAACTGTGGGCCATCCATGTGTTCTCCCTTGAGAGACTCATTTTATTAGAACCTCTTGCTTAGTCTTTCTCTCACACTTGTGTGACCATCAATTCCTCTCTCAGCTGGCATTTGTGATCTACCTATTTTTCTGCCTCTCTATGTTTAAAGATGCTTCTTTGGCCTGTAGCTTTTCCTCTGTCAAGGATAAAAGAAGTGTGGGTTCAGGCCAAATTGTTCTTTTTAGGGTTACATTGACACAGTGGACTGAATGGTCACCATCAGTGCCATAAATTGCGTAAACCCCATGATTCTGTGGTCTGCAGTGAGGTCTTTCTCTCTGGCCCCACACATACAAATACTCTCCATTGCAGATTGGTACTTCCCGGGGTGGGGTTCTGTTGGGATCTAGGGTGACTCTCGTCCACTTTGCATGTTCCCAACCAAATGCAATCATGTGCCCCATGGCTTCCTGAATAAGCTTTCTCTGTATCAGTCGGCTGCAAGCCAGGGACTCCCAGCAGTCAGCGGGAAGATGCTTGGCCCAGTTCAGTGATGCTTTTGATTCTACTTTCCTGCTGGGAGTCTCCAGTATGACTGAGTTCCCAGTAGAGCAGTCCCTTCAGGAGTCTGGCCTCATACAGTTGAAACCTGCTGGGCAAGAGGCTTGCAAGAGGAGGCTACTGTAGACCACCTTTCCCACCGCTGGATTTGGAGGATCTTGCAGAGACACAATTGGTGAAGCTTCTCCAGTGTGTAAGGATCTCCTGCAGTTTGGCCACGTCTTCGAAGTGAGTAGGGACCACTGTTGTGCTTTGAACCCTAGAAACAATTTTGGGTTTAAGGCCCTCGTCCTCTGCTGGATGAAAGCTAATAATGGCACATTGGAGATAAGAACACATTTCGTTGTCCACTTCTGCCATGATCGGGAGGAACGTCTCAAGTTACGGAAAATGCTTCACATTTCCACAATCCCGGCGTTGCTCTTAATCAGGGGAGGGGTGAGTTTGGCTGAGGGAGCTGGTTGGTCGAGGACTTTAGTTTTCTTGGTGTTAAGTGATAGGCCCATTTTCCCAGATGCTTCAGAGAAGGACTGAACAATGTGGTGGGGCTCAGTTTCTGACTGAGCGCACACAAGCATAATGTGCAAACTGACCTTCAGTGGCTGGCGTTGGGTGTGTTTTAGGCTTTGTTTTTGCTTTGTGAGCCACCTCAGTTGAATGGTTTCCCCCGTCAGTTTTGAGGATTACCTCATGCGGGTAATTTACTGGGTGTGCGATGCAAGGATGATGGGAAAGAGAGTTGGTGGAATGACACTGTCACTTCTGAACCCCGTTCTTCACTGAGATGGGACTGTGGTGCTGCCGCTGGTGAGGATCATGGCATCGATGACATCATTCAGTGTGTGTAGGATGGCGACTAATTTCTGAGAGGAGCCATATTGGAGGGGGACATTCCACAAGACATGCACATACACGTACACATAAATATACACACACTCAAACTGTGATAGACCACGACAAGCTGAAGCTAAGGCCAATTTCGACATCTGTTCCTTTCTCCGTAGCTGCTGCAAATTTTGCCGAAAGAACAAGTCAGACTCTTCCCCAGCGTTTTCAGACAAGCGGAAAATCCTTACCGTTAACCAGGTGACCAGATTTCCTGGGATTCTCGGTGGCTCCTGGGTGATTACAATCTTCTGCGCGAGTTAAATGAACAGGGACAGCGGTGTAGCGGCTGGACAGTAATGCAAAGGTCCGGGCAACTGCTTTGGAGTCACAGGTTCAAATCTCACTCATGGCAACTGGTGGAATAAAATCAATGAATTAAATCTGGAATTGAAAACTAGAGTCAGTGACAAAACTATAATTGGTTGCTATAAATGTGCCATCCCCCACCCCGGTACACTCTGGGATCGTAATCCTCCAGCCTAAATGTGACTCCAGACGCACAGCAACTTGTTTGTCTCCTGTTGTTCCCTGTGGAATGGCTAACCCACCAAGTTCAAGGGGTAATTAGGGATATGTGGCATTGACACCCACATCGTAACATGCATTAAAAGTCTGGACTTTTTTTTAAAAAAGGGGTGATTTTCCAAACTATGAATAAAAGAAAATGCATTTGAAGGGCACAGGGGTGTTATGCTTCTGTTTACTGTAATCCAAGGGCCTAGACCAGAGTTCAAATCCCACTGAGGGTCTTTGAGAGTCTGAATTCAGTTCATAAAAGAAGCTGTAAAATACTAAGTCAGTGAGCATGAGGATATTCTATTGTTGAAAAAAAGTCCCAATGTTGGTTCAGGAACAGATTGGAACTTGCTGGACTTCCCAGGTGAGGCCTATGTTGACTCCAGCCTAATGCCCTTAAAACTGCCCACTGATATGGCCTGTTAAGCCCATCAATACTTCCTCAGGGATGGGCACCTTGTCCATGATTCCCATATCAGAAGTTGAACTGAAAATGACTGTGATCCTCCAATGCCAGTTCAAGTTAACAGATGCTGAAGGCCTGTTTGAGCAGGCCTCACAACTGTTCATTTTCTCCTGTATCGATAGACTCCATTTTCCCAATGCAAGAATTTTTTTAAAAATAACATTTTCTATGGGGTGTGCAAGGCCAGTATTTATTGCCCAATCCTATTTCCCATCTGGAGAATGTGGTGGGGAGTTATCTTCTTGAACTGTTGTCATTTTCATGCAACTGAGCGGCGCCATTTTAGAGTCAACCAAATTGCTGTGGGCCTCATGTAGGCCAGCCAGGTAAGGACAGCAGACTTCCTTCCCTGAATTATTCAACCAGGTGGGTTATTTTTTTCTGACAAACTAAAGGCTTCAAATGTGTTTAATTCCAGGCTGACTTAATAAACTGGATTTAGATGCTCAATTGAAATGGTGGGATTCGAACTGACACCCTTGATTCATTAGGCCTTTAGATTACTAATCAAGTAATATAACCACGATGCCACCATATTTGACTATTTCAGTGGCTACATGGAGGAGCTGTAAGGGTGGGGCAGTGCCAGAACAGCGAGGCTGGAGTAACATATGACAGAACCTCCAAAAACTCATTCTGCCAAAGTTGAGGGCAACCACATTCTATAGTTAACGTGGTGTGGGATTTGCTGATGGGCTCTGTTTTCCGTTTTGTTTTGCAAACAACACAACGTAGGAGTTTTTAGTTCCGGCAACTCTCAACTACCGCAGCCTTTCTGAACTCACTGGTTAAATGGCTAACAGGGCACCATGGCCTCCACTGGTTAACCAGTAACCAGAGAAACCTCCACGAGGGGACAAGGGTCCAAATCACGCCACAGCCATTTTACTACCTCGCTCCCCTCAACTGCAAGCTTGTGCAGAACACAGACACATCACTCTCCCAAGTTCGACACGACCCACATGCTGCTCCTTCGTCATGAGCCAGCTCACAGCTGAGGAACTGAATTAAATAAAGAAGGGGCCCCCCCACCATTAAATCCATCTTCTCATTCCCAGTCGCAACCTTTCATTTTTATTTGTGTACGTGTGTGTTGTGCATGTGTTTCTCACATGAGTGTATGCATGCACGCGCGTGTGCGTAAGCATGTGTGTAAGGCAGTGTGTCTGTGCATGTGTGAATGTGGAAGCATGTGTATTTGTAAGTCTCTGTGCAAGTGCGTGGGGGTTTGTATGTACGTGTGTGCGTGTGTGTGGAGCTCTGAGTATGTGTGTGTGCATATGTGTGGGGCTGTGTATGCACATGCATGGGGGGTTTGCACATGTGTATGTTTGTGTGGGCATGTGTGGTGGGGATGTCTGAGTGTGTATCCGCATGCGTGTGGGGGTGTGCACGTGTGGGGGTGCACGTGTGCGCTGGGCATATGTCCACGTATGTGCGTGCTTGGAGGTTTGTGCACATGTGTGAGAACCAGCCCACCTCTTCCCACTGTGCCCAGCTCTCTTTCCTGTCTCAGGTGGAGTTTGCTGTCTCTGACACCAATGCTCTCCTCCTAACCCATTCTGCCAACACCTCAGCTTTGAAATTCTCCATCTCCCGTGCCTTCAAATTCCTGCAGGATCTCTCCTTTCCCTACTTTCAGCCCTATAAACCTCAGAGTTTCTCTGTACCCCTCCAGCCTCAAGCAAACCCAAGTCCTGTCACTTCACCATTGGCTGCCTGGGCCCGAAGCTCTGGAATTCCCTCTCTCTGTTTCCCTCCTTTAAAATGTCCCTCAAAACCCACTTCCTCGACCGAGTTTTCAGATCAATCTGTCCTAAAATTTTGGCTTGGAGACAAGATTTTCTTATGGACAATGTTCCAGCGAAGCATATTGAGAGGTAGTGCAACATTAAAGACCCTCTACAAACACAAGTGGCTGTTTTTTTGTTGGGGACCCATCGTACCCTATGACACACATGGACTACATCAGCTCGGAGCATGACAGGCTTTCAACAATATCTCTGCCGCTGAAAATTTTCTCTCTCTTTTAAGTCAGGAAACCCGACAAAGTTGAGAAAAGTAGGTTGCAAAGAACCTGTAGATGTTACGATGTCAACACCGAGACCTTGAGAAAGACGGCATTGGCTATAATGAATCCCAAGTTTAATATGAATGGGGAAATGCTGCCCAAACTAGGCCTCATTTAGGGAATGAAGTCCTTACATCGACTGCTTCTGAAACCATTAGCTCCTTCAGTTATTTATATCATATTATTTTAGAGTTGTTCTCATCCTTGCATATGTGAATGCCAAGAAATCACATATAGATCCATGGTATGTAATCCGAGATCTATATGTGCAGGCCCATGTTTTAAACTACAGAGTCTTAGCATCGTGGCATAGTTACAATGCTTAACAAGGCCCGTGCTAGAGTATTGATTTAGCTCCATCTTTATCCTATAGTTCTGACTTCAGGTAATGATCCATAGGATTACACGGGATGCAAGCCACAGAAACAGGCCATTCGGCCCAACTCATCCATGCTGGGCTCCATGATCCATTCGAGCCCCATCTCTCCTCATCTAAACCTGCCATCTTCTATTCCCTCCTCCCTCATAGACATGTTCAGCGTTCCTATGCATCCACACTGTTCACCTCCTCCACTCCCTGTGGGAGTGAATTCCACAATACAATCACACCCTCCGCTTCACTCTCTGGGTGATGAGGTCACTCCTGAATCCCAAATGGATTTTCCTGGGGGCTATGTTAAACTGACGGCCTCTAGCACTTCTCGTGCTCCCGAAAGAAAACATTCTCTCCGTCCAAACCCACCCAATTAAAACCTTTCAATATTAAAAAAAAACTCATCCATCTTCACTCAAACACAAAGTGGCCTCCATTCCTTCCATGTGTTTCTAACATTGTCCTCATAAATCTTACCGATGGTCTCCTGACTGCCAACTCATCCTGCACATTAAACTTAAGAGAATCCTGAACTAAGACGCCAAGTTGCTTTGTGCTTCAGATTTCCGAAGCCTTTCCCCATTTAGAAAATAGTCTATGTCTCCACGCTTCTGACCAAACTGCATAACCTCACACATTCCCACACTGTATTCTGCCTGCCACTTCTCTGTCCACTCTCCTAGCCTGCCCAAATCCTTCTGCAGCCTCCCCGAATCCTCGTCATTCCCTGTCCCTCCACCCATCTGTCATCTGCAGACAGAGCAATAACGTCCTCAGTTCCTTCGTCCAGATCGTTAATGTGTAACATGAATACTTGTGGTCTCAACATGGACCCCTGCAGAACTCCACTAGTCCTAGAGTCATAGTCCTAGAGGCACGGGGGCTCAGTGGTTAGCACTGCTGCCTCACAGCGCCGGGTTTGATTCCACCCTCAGGTGACTGTCTGTGTGGAGTTTGCACATTCTCCCCGTGTCTGCGTGGGTTTCCTCCAGGTGCTCCGGTTTCCTCCCACAGCCCAAAGATGTGCAGGTTAGGGTGGATTGGCCGTACTAAATTGTCCCGTAGTGCCCAGGGATATTTAGGTTGGGTGGGTTAGACATGGGGAAATGGGTCTGGGTGGGATGCTCTTCAGCAGCGCAGCATGGTCTTGTTGTGTTGAATGGCCTGTTTCCACACTGTAGGGATTCTATGATGATGATGATTATGATGAACAGAGCCTTTGGTCCAACTAATCCATGCTGACCCAATCACCGCTGCCATCATAAGAAAGACACATCTATCCCCGCTGTCTGCTTTCTGCCAGTCAGCCAATGCTCTATCCATGCCAGTACCGTGCCCCTAACGCCATGGGCTCTTATCTTATTTAGCAGCCTCCTGTGCGGCACCTTGTCAAAGGCCTTCTGGAAATCCAAATAGATAACATCCACTGGTTCTCCTTTCTCTAAGCTGCTTGTTACCTCCTCAAGGAATTCAAACAGATTGGCCAAGCATGACCTGCCCCTGACTCAGCCCTATTTTACCATGCACACCCAAGAGGATTGAAGTTTTAAATCAGAATGTGAGCTCACCAGAATAAAAGTCAAAATAGACCATTCAGCCCATCATTCCTGCTTCACCGTTCAATGCTATCATGGCTGATTTTGGACTTCAATACCATAGTCCCGTCCTGTCCCCATTACTTTGGTTCCCCGAATCCCACCCCCCATCCCACGCCCCATGTTTTACATTTCTCCACCAGTGGAAACAACCCCTCAGTGCCCAACCTGTCAAGCTCATTCACAATCTTGTAGGTTTCAAGGTAGTCACCTCTGCTCCTTCTAAACTCCTGAGAATATTGACCCAATGTGCACAGCCCTCACTGTAACAGAGCAAAACCCTTCCCATTCAAACCTGGAGCTAATCTCTCAGTGTCTGTTGGGTCGCGTTT